TAAAACAAAATATTAAATAAATATATTATAAATAAATAGTATTAAATTCTAAATATTACTATGTAACTAATCCATCTTATTTAACATTAATTAATGAAATTTTTCTTTTTGTTTCAGAATAGATACGAGTGCAACAGAAAAACAAATGCACTAATAGCTGTTGTTGGAATCAATTCCGCCTGTTGTTTGTTCATTTATTATATATACTGTACTTACTTATCTATGTATTAAATAAATATTATGAGTCATTGTGGTAGTGTCTCTTTTTGTTGTTCTATTTTTAGTAACTCAAATTATATCATTATACAAATCGAAATGGTCATTTGCCTTATTTACATACGTAAAATCCAAAAATGATACCTCAAGAAATCAACATCGAAAAATATTTCCATTAGGGATGTTTACTTGCCCATTTGTAGACAAACACTTATGTAATCGAGTTCATAAATAAATGACCCGGTGAAATTGGCTCAACTAACGAAAATATGCTCTTATTTGAAAGTCTCTGTCATTAAAAGGAACCTTTATAAAAAAAAAATACAATTTGCAACAATACATTTTATTGACATTTAGAAAAGGAAATGTTGAAGAAATATCTTATAAACCAATGTTAATCTAAATCTAAACAAAAACATATATATTAAAAATTGTGTCAAAATCACCAAAGCTTTGTCGATAAAACAATTGAGATTTGAACAAGCGCCAAGTTCTAATGATGTTAAATTTACAGCTTGCCAAGTTCTATATACCTATTTGTTGCGTTAGGCGTAATAATTTACGTGTTAAAACTTTCTAAGTTGTAAATTCAACATCAAAGAACGTAATTCGATTGCATCTTGTATGGAACTTGGTACCCGTTGAGATTTCAATTCAAAGCCGACAACACCGGACATTATCGAATAGGACTTTTCAAACCTGAATAACTGGAGAACTATCACAGTTTTGTTTTATACACAGGACTATAGGTACCTAAATAACAAATAATTTATAGTATAGTATACTTCGTTTACTTTCTGTAGCGATGTGACCTTCAGTTTAACCGGTGCAAAGTAGAAAAGAACAGCACTAGGCCAGAAAAGGAAGGAGACAACTCTCGGCCAAACTCTTAACCGATGAGGAGCGTATAATCCGTACAGTACTGCACGGAAAAACTAACCATTTTATCCACTATAATTGTATTGCTCAAATGTGCTGTTATTGGTACCATTTACTACTGAAAATATCAACGAGACGTTTATTTATATTTGAAGACATATTAAAGGCTTTAACGCTTGTTTTCGACTCGCACTACTATTCATGATTGAACAAAACATTTGGCACGTACTGTATGAAAAAGTGTTTGATGTTTAATGAACAAGAGTCGAGAGTATAACGAGCTTTTTCACCCTACCTACGATTTTGTCAGCGCGCATCTAAGACACTGGAAGGGGCACATCGCTAGAGAAAGTAAATGAAGTATATCTCGTTTTACTTTGTACTACTCATGAAGCATTTCCTAACTTAAAAAGAGCGTATTTAAAACTCAGCAGATGACTACAGCCCCATGTAGAAATAAAAAGGAAGATACGTCCATTCTCACAGATAAATTTATTGTGGACTTTGCTAATTTTAATCGTCCCATTTATACACTGCCGATGTCGCCCCCTCTTTTCCGAACGTGATTGACACACTGTCGTGTGTGTAGATTCTAATAGAATCTTAAAATTTGACAGAAAAGAATAGTTCTCGTAACATAGCCCAGTAAAAGAAAAAGTTCGTACGTCATTTATTTTTAATTGAATGTAGAACTACTATGACTCAACAAATTTAATTTGGAAGTTTTATACAGCGTACAATAAGTACCGTGCAACTTAACAGTACAAAATTCTTATAAGGGCTTATTTTCTAGCACTCCGTTCAAAGGTACGAAACTATTCGCCCTTGCTCAACTTTTCTGTTTTTAGAAAGACAATTCCAGATAATTTCGATAGAAACGCCGCATAGTGAAACGGATGTCTGTTGTAGAAGTCCCGTAAATTTTAAAACCATTAAAGGCAGAAATGCAACGCCTTGCAAATTAGAGCTTAATAAAAGTTAAAAGTACGCTTTCAGTTTCGGATTTTGTGTTACGCTGCCTCATCCCGTAACTACCACTGTGAATATAAGGGGCGTATTTGGGAGGACGTATTTCTACATCAGACTATTTGTCGATGGCATGCATATGCGATTTAGAGTAATTATCCATTGGTATAAATACTTACTGATTTAATAATAATTAAATGCAGAGGTCTATAATCTACTTCTACAGTAAGGAAAATTGCTAATGGCTTTATGACGATCGATTTAATTACCACATTATTCCTTTTAATTAACATTGCTTAATTCTGACACTGAAATCAGTTGTCTTCAATCCTGAAGAAGGTAAAGTATGTTGTACCTGGTAGGAAAGTACATGCAAAATTTGTTCCACGAAACCCAGACTCGTCGACCGGTATGTTTACCTACCTACTTCCCTTATCAACCCGTCCGACAAGTTTCACCGTTACCAACAACAACCCCTACATGAGGCATATTTCGAAAACTAAATTTTATTCAATTCTTTTAATATTTTTCTTTTTTTCATTAACTGGTTTTTTGTCTAGACATCTATTTCCTTTTTTTATTTTCTATTTATTTCTTTACTTATTTCCCGCACTATAAATTCTATCTTTCTTTCAATTTCTGTTTTCTCTTCTAGTTATCGTACAGACTTGCTCTTTTTTTTTAATCCTAGGTTTTCGAGTATGCCACGTTCGTTCCCAGCATCATTTTTTCCATTTTTTTTCCCTAAGTACCCGTTATCTCACATTCGTTCATTCTTTAACCAATTTTACCCCACTTCATCACCCCACCTTCAACCCCTCTACATTCCACCCCTTTTCATTACCTCAGGTTGGTATAAATACTGGTCCCAGCGCAATCAAAAACCATCTCTGACATTCCACCCACCAGCGGCAAGGGAGAGAGAGATCCTAACCTCCGAGCTACTAATCATCCTCTATTTTTTTTCATGTGTGTTATTTCGCCTATCTCTGACATTCCACCCACCAGCGGCAAGGGAGAGAGAGATAGATATATCCGGTTCTTTTTGTCTCGAAGTTTTGTATATATATATTGTATGGTTTCAGTGTGTGTGTGCTTGTCGGGGTTATTTATATTGTATATTTTTCATTGTGTGTGTGCTTGTCGGGGTTATTTATATTGTATATTTTTCATTGTGTGTGTGCTTGTCGATTTATTTGTCATATTGTATATTTTCTATCGGGTATTTTGTGTGTGCTTGTATATCGAAGCAGTGTGTGGTGTGCGAACTTGTCTTTTTTAATTTTTCTTTGTATATAGTATATAATTAGTGTCCATACCGAATAAACTTAGTGCACCGATAACGTGTAGTCTTTTGTTTTTATATCAAGTATTTTGGGCGTTTAGTGTCATTTTGGCTTTGAAGTTTCAGATTTTTAGTGTGTTCAGAAACAATGTGATAAAATTATTTTTTTCGAGACTGCTCATCACTATTTCGTAATTACAGTAGAAAATGGAGATAATGGTAAAGAAATAAATAGTTTAAAAAGAGATTTACCCTACAGTTACTACTAGACCAGTCAGCGCGGACAATTCAAATGCGGGCATTATCAATGCAAGATTGTCTCTATGATGCACTCATTAGAAATGGGTGTCCACAGCAAACAGGTCCTCTACTGATAACCAGGGTGAGATCTGAATGGTGGTCCTATTTAAATTTTAAGGACTAAATGCCATCGTCCCCAACAAATTACTTTTAGAAACAAAAATCGACCCAACATAGGATATACGAGGGCGATTCAATAAGTACCCGTGTTAGAAATGAAGACACCTTTTTTTTAAAATTTGCTTTTTTATTTTTCAACATCCACTTTTAGAAAGATACACTTTTCCCAACGACCCTGCCATGTTTTTTACCCCTCCAAAAAAATAAGATTTGTTGAACTCTCCAAAATCCCCCCTGTCTCGGCGATGCTTCGTTTGAGCTAAATTTCTTTCTCGCTAGTCATTTCTTCATGGTAGGGAACAAGACGAAGTCGCAAGGGGTCAAATCGAGTGAGTCGGGGTGTGCGGCAGCAAATTCATAACGTAATTTATGCATTTTGGCGGCAACAACTCCTGATGAATGTGCCGGTGCGTTATCGTGTTGAAAACGCACCCTCTGTTTCGTCAAATGCGTCCGTGTCTCCTTCAAATTTTTGTCGAAGCGGTCCAACAACTCACTGTAGTATTGTCCATTGATCGTTCTTCCTTTTCCAAAAAAATCCGTAACATCATTTCCTCAGTAACAACGTTTGCCAGGCTTCCTGGTCGCTCCTATCAAAAACGGATCTTTGCCCACGTTTAAATCCGTTGAAGCAATATCTAACTGTGGTCGTAGATGGCGAAATGTCTCCATAAACAGTATCCAACTTTGTTTTCATCTCCTCGCATTTCTTCCCATCCAAAAACAAAAATCGAGTTACCGAACGTTACTGCTCTTTTTCCATCTTAGCGAAAATAACGAAACACGTCTCAGTCGAATGACTGTCAAATCCAAACTAACCTATCAATCGGTCTGAAATTCGTTATGGCGTGGTTTGATAGATTACAGCACACGATGACAACACCAATTTTCCTCAGGAACGTCCTCCGTCATCAAACATGGGTACTTATTGAACCGCCCTCGTACAAGGTTTATTTATGAATGCTTTGCTGTCAGTTATGAGGCTTCTTCAGGGTAGGCTTTCCAGTTAATCTACGAGAAGCTCAATGACGCGGTTTGGTATAAGTATACCATTATAAAGTAATATATTAAATATAATAAATTACTTTATAATGGTATACTTA